GCTTTGGGAAGAATGTTTCCAACAGAGCAGAGGTCGCGTTCAGAAGCCGGGATGTGATAAAGGGTGTGATGTCTTCAAGGGAGGGGACGTGGCCCGGGACAGGAATTGGGGAAGACGTGGCTGTAAGCGGGGAGCCACCAAGGAGGCCGTGGTCCCTCTGGGTGAAAGATGAAGAGATCCTAGCCCCGAGGGGGCGCCGGGAGAAGTGAACCGTTCAGGAGAGATTACGGAGACGGAGCGGGTGAGCATGGAGGTTGATTGGATGTCACGGTCAGGAAGAGACGGAAGGAGAGAATGATGGTGTGTTTCTGTTCTGATCCGCTGTGGTGACGGAGGTGCCGTCTGCTGAGAGGGGCACGTCTGAGATGCCGCCCGCTTGGGCGACAGGTGAGTGGGTGATGGGCTTAGCTGGACAAGTGCTGTAGCACTTGAAAGGTCCCTAAGACGCGAAGGCGAGGGGTCCAGGAGGCGGTACAGTGGAGGGGAGGAGGCGGAGGCTGCTGCAAGGCGGCCCAGGGAGGGCAGTGGGAAGGCAAGCCACGGGGTGGTTCCGCTGAAGCGGGTTGTAGAGAGTAGTCGTAGACTAGGAACACCGGCTTCCCAGTCAGTGTAAACCGAGCTGTGCTGTGATAACAAACAACCCGACGGGCTCAGGGCTCTAAGAACACAAAGGATGATTCGTTTTTGCTGATGTTCCGTGGCTACCCCGGTCAGCCGAGGACCCGGCTCATCACAGTCCCTCCCAGGTGACACAGAAGGTGCTGTCTGTACGCTGCCTGTCATCCTTACAGAGGGGACGAAAACTAGACGGACTGGCACTGGCAACTTACAGCTCCAGCCCGGAAATGACGCCCGTCACTTCCATTCACGACCCACTAGTCAGAACTAGGCGCTCGGCCCCGCTTAATGGCCAGGGAGCTGGGAAGTGTGTCCCACAAACAGGGGACCCAGCGACATCTGGAGACCAGCACGAAAGACGACCACACCGTGGAGACGGGATTTCCAGGGGCCCTGTGGCCAAGCTCTGGGAAGAAAGAGGACAGTGGTTATTGGAACCAGACTCCGATGCGAGCTTATCGGATTCCAGAACCCATACAAACCAGAACTCTGAGATGCAATTTATAGGTTATTTATAGGTTATTTATAGGTTATCCAACATTTCTGCAACGGATCAATTTACTTTTACGACCAGCAAACATAAGTGTTATAGGGAAAATGATATCTGTATAATAATTACCTTCCCCTTGTCGGTTAAGCGTCCAACTTCGGCTCAGATTGTGATGTCGGGGTCTGTGAGTTTGAGCCTCGAGTTGGGCTCTGTGCTCACAGCTCGGAGCCTGGAGCCTGCTTTGGATTCTGTGTCGCCCTCTCTCTCTGCCCCTCCCCTGCTCACACTCTATCTCTGTCTCTCTCTCTCTCTCTCTCAAAAATAAATAAACATTTTAAAAAAGAACTACCGTCCCTAGACAAGGAACTTCTCTCCCTGCCAGCTCTCTTAGGTGCTACCTCTTCCTTGCTCCTTCTCCCAAAGCCTGATCAAACCCACGACATGAAAGAGGTCCTCACCGGTGCTCAAGTTGGCCCCTTTCTGAGATGTTAGTCCAGGAAGATGCTTACAAGATGGCAGCACTTCCGGTGGGAGGTGCCCCCAGGCTGGAGGGAGAGCTGCCGTTTCCAGTATGAAGAAGGTACCAGCCGGTACCCCTGCAAACCCGCTGCATCCGTGGCTGTGTTCCAGTTCACGCCCCACACCCTCAGCCTGCTGTCCAACCTCCAGCCACGTGCTCCTCTGAGGATCTCACACATCCCCCTGACGTAGGCACTTATTTTCAAAGAATCAGGGGCATCATCGCAGTCCTGCCCTCCCTCCTCCACAGCTGCTGCCCGGGCCCCACGAAGCTTCCAGCGCATCAGCACCAGGCAGAGCGCCCCCCCCCCCGGAATTCAACCCCATGCCCGTGATCACAGGGTCAGCCGGAACCCCAGACCAGCACAGATGGCCTGTTTCACCCTGTGACTGGCCCCTGGGTCTCTCAATGTGCTCGCAGAAGGACACGTTTGTTCCCACTGCCCTGAACTTCAAGGGGAAGGAGCCAGAGCCCGCCCCCCCCGTACCGGCTGTGGGACTCAGCCGTCACCCCTCTCAGAGGCTCAAAGGATGCAGGGAGGCAGCAAAAAAGTAGAAACCTGAGTGCAAGGAACCCCTGCAACTCAATAGCAAAATAATAACGACAACAGCAATAACGATAATGACCCAAGGGAAAACGGGAAAGGACTTGAACAGGTGCTTCTCCACAGAAGACATCCAGACGGCCAACAGACACATGAAAAGATGCTCAACGTGCCTGATCATCAGGGAAATGCCAATCAAAACCACAACGAGGTACCACCTCACACCCATTAAGGTGACCATTGTCACAAAAAGCAGGAGGTAGAGGGCGAGGAGGAATTAGGACCCTCCCTCGTGCGCTGTGAGTGGACATGGACAAAATGGCGCAGCGACCTTGTTAGAGACTATGGAGTTTTCTCAAAAACCCAAAAATAGAACTACTACACGATGCTTGCGTATTTTGTCCAAAGGAACTGAAAACCAGGATTTCAAAGAGGTGTGTGCACTCTCATTTCAGACCAGCATTAGTCACAACGGCCAAGAGGCAGAAACAGCCTGAGTGTCTGTCGGTGGATGAACAGATAAAGGAAGTGTGGTCTCTGCATACCCGGGACTTTTCCACATCGAAAAAGAAGGAAATCCTGTCACCTGCCATGATATGAAGCTTCAGACATTGTGCTCTGTGCAATAGGAACTTGACAGAATATAGCATGATTCCACTTACGTGAGGCATCTAAAGCAGTCAAACCCACAGAAGCAGAAAGTGGAACAGGGGTGCCAGGAGCTAAAGGGGGAGGGGAGATGGCAAGTGGCTGTACGGTGAGGACAGAGTTTCGGGCACACAAGATGGAAAGTTCTCGAGACCTTCCGTACAACAGTGTGCACGCGGTTAACAACATCATATACGTGTGTACCTCATATTACGTGGCTTTTTTTTTTTTAACGTTTATTTATTTTTGAGACAGAGAGAGACAGAGCATGAACAGGGAAGGGGCAGAGAGAGAGGGAGACACAGAATCGGAAGCAGGCTCCAGGCTCTGAGCCATCAGCCCAGAGCCCGACGCGGGGCTCGAACTCACGGACCACGAGATCGTGACCCGAGCTGAAGTCAGACGCTTAACCGACTGAGCCACCCAGGCGCCCCAACGTTATGTGGCTTTTACCACAATTTTTTAAAAAGTACAAATGTGAAACGAATCCGGAAATGGCTGTGAGCGTTGCTTGTTCTTAACCACGTGGCTCTTGGACCTAATTAAAAAGCAAGAGAGTGTGGGGGGCGGGGGAGGGGAGAGGGTGGGGGCGGGGAGGAGCATATAACTCCAGAGCCCGCTTCATTCTGCTACACGGGCACACAGATACATAAGAATTTAGTTTCATTAATCTGTACACTTAAGATTAGTGCACTTTAATACTTTAATGGCCGCATAAATGTTATACTTCAGTCAAAACCAGACCTTAATTATTCCCACCACAAAAAAGAATGGTACTCGCGACAGGCTAGAGACATCTGCGAGTTTTACAATGGCAGTCTTATTGCAATACATAACCATATCAAGTCGGTGTCGGGGAGGAAATATTTTCCTCTACTTTTCAAGGTTCTTTTGTGTGGTCTAAGAATTAAATTGACGTGAGATGGATTAACAGGAGAAAATAAAATTTAATTATGTACCTATGGGGAATCCGCATCAAAAAGAGAGGTTCCAAAGACATCTGGGCAAAAGGAGGTATACGGGTCATCCCGAACTGTGGGTGTGAGCTTCAAAGGCAAGGAAGGCAATTCACAGGAGAAATGGAAAGAGAAAATGTTTGGTGAACAAGCATGTGCTGGGCCATCCAGAAACAATACGACTGAGAGAGGACTTCAATCAAACGGGCCTTGCTGGGCTCGTCCCTGTCGGCCACACCTAGTTCATGTGCTCCCGTAGTTGGTTGGGGTGAGAGCTCCCTTCCTGGAGCAGGTCCTCTGCGTAAATTCTTTCAGGCATTTAGGCAGGAGACGAAAAAGAAAACCTTCCTGAGTCTTCTGTTTCTCAAAAATAATTAGCCCCAAATAATCCACAAGCCAAAGAGATGCATTTTGGGATGGCCAATTTTGCTCCCGTAGCTCAACATCAACACCTTGAACTTGCACAATGTGACACGTCAAATATATTTCAATTAAAAAAAAAAAAAAAAGGACACTATTCAGCTCCTAAAGGGAAATGTGAGAATATCTTTGTAATCTCATAGCAGTGATATTTCTTAAACAGGACAGACAAAAATCACAGACCATTAAAAAATGATAAATTGAATACAAAATGATATCTAACTTGTTAGAAGTTCTGAGGATATTTCGATTTGGAGTCTCACCCGGAGACACACTTTGACATTAGAGGGCTTGCTTCAATATGCAGCTTGCAGACTCCAGCCCAAGCTCTTTTAAAGAGGAGCTTAATCGGAGCGCCTGGGTGGCGCAGTCGGTTAAGCGTCCGACTTCAGCCAGGTCACGATCTCGTGGTCCGGGAGTTCGAGCCCCGCGTCGGGCTCTGGGCTGATGGCTCAGAGCCTGGAGCCTGTTTCCGATTCTGTGTCTCCCTCTCTCTCTGCCCCTCCCCTGTTCATGCTCTGTCTCTCTCTGTCCCAAAAATAAATAAACGTTGAAAAAAAAAATAAAAAATAAAAAAAAATAAAGAGGAGCTTAATGAAGACACCACCTTAAGGGCTGAAACAAGCTCTCGTTGCCATGGCAATTCCACAGGACATCCAGGGGCCCCCGCAGCTCCCAGAGCTGGCAGGAAGGTGGGCCACGGGGAGGGCAGCAGACAGAAGACCAGGCGGGAGGCAGAAGCTGCCAGAGGGCCCGTCCTGCCACCAAGGCACAGATTGGAAGTGACTCGCGTACACAGCCCTCTGCAAATCACCAGGATCAGCAATGTCTGCAGAAGGGGCCGGAAAAATAGCCCTCACGCAGGGCTGGTTCGGGAGGCTCCCCGAGCGGGCATCCACACCTGGACCCTGCAGAACCCCCGGGACCGGAGCCACGGCGCAGGGGACAGGAAGACAGAAGAGGGCTCTCTAGGGCAGGCGCACCATCGCAGAGGGGGCTGAGGGAGTGGAGGAAGGCAGGCGAGACGGGGGGGGGGGGGGCCAGTCAGCTCTGCCTGGAGTCCCCCTTTCCCGTCGCCATAGCAACCCACGTCCTAGAATAATCACCAGGGTCCTTTGTCGTGGCCGACGAGCGAAGTGAGCCCACAAAGGCGACCTGCCCTGGTTCAGAAAGATGTGCCCACTGGGGTGTCCTCGATGATCCAGGCAGCGGCCGGGACACCCGGCCCTGGGCCGTCAGAACCACGGTTCCTGGGCTTGATGCACGGATTCTGCTCGAGCAGTGATGTCCATCCAGCAGATACACCGACAGATAAGGTGGATGAGGGTGTGGCGCAGCGGGGCGGCTGCAGAATTCTAAGCCCGCCTGCGCAAACGGGGGCGACGAGCGCTCTGCGATGAGACGCGCCCTCGGCTGCCATGGAGGATGCGGGCCAACGCACAACAGTCCAAGTATGACTCTGAGACGCAGAAGGACAGAGAAATGCGGGCCAAACATCAGACAGCTTTGAAATAGCCTGGAGCTCATCCCAATCCTGTGCACGGCCCTGCCCCCATGCCTGCCACGGGGCCCGAGGCTGGGGCACCGGCCAGCCCCCTGAGCTTGCGTGGCCACACCGCTCCAGAGGGCGTCAGCTCCCGGTGTCACCACGAGTCAGGCTTGGACGTGGAGTGGAGGAGGAGGAGGGGCGGGCCCTGCGAACCCGGCCCAGAGGGTATCTGTGTAGCCGCACGTACAGCGTCTGGGGGTTGCTGGTGGTGGCTCGGCAGGGCCAGCCGGACAGAAGGACACCCGCAGTGGTGGGTGTGAAGAAAACCTCTGTTCTCCCTCCCTGCACCCACCTGCCTCCGCTCCGAGGGCCACGCCAGGGTGGGGAGCAGGGCAGTCAGAGCCGATGGCACCTGCCCCTCACCCCACCCAGCCTCCAGCCTCCATCCGAAACCCCAGCCCGGCTCAGTCTCACCTGCTCTGAGGGGAAAGGGAAGAAAAGCTTTAAATAGATGTGAGATCGACATTTTTACACGAACGGAGCCTAGTTCTTCCTAATTGCAAGCCACTGAACTTTCTGGAAGGAGGCTGAGCCATCGCTAGGGGAGCCGCTGCCCAGAGGGAGGGCCAGGGCAGGGCAGCTGCAGGGGAGACGAGTAATCCGTTTGGATTCCGTTTGGAATCCACACACCCTGGCCAGTTGCAGCTGCTCCCCAACGAGCTGTGCTAAGGCAAACCGCTTGGCTCCGGGGCTTTCTAGCAGCTGGCGGCAGGATGGCGAGGCCCGCGCCCAGGGCCACGGCTGCGAGCAGAGACGAGGCTGCGTGGCAGGGCGGGTCCCCCCGCCACTGCTCAGGGCGGCTGCGATCACAGGGCAGCGGGGAGGAGGCAGCACAGCCCGCGGAGCCTGACCTGTGCCCGAGGGTGAGGAGGAGGGACGCGGGGGTGCTGGGGCCGCGGAGCGAGGGGGTGTTGTCCTCCAAGCCCAAGCCACACAGATGCTGACCACTCACACGCGCCCCCGCGACCGGCCCGTGTGTGTGTGTGTGTGTGTGTGTGTGTGTGAGTCCTGCAGGGAAAGGTCTGGAGCTAGACAGCGTCACGCATCACGTCGCCCTGGCCCAGCCACCAGGGCGTGGCCTCCTCTGAGCTCACACAGTCTCCACAGCAGTGTCACACGGTGTGGCCCCTGGCTGCTTGTGACGCCATCTCTCCCCAGATGGACAGAGTCCCAGTGCTGGGGAGGGCCCCCTTCATTGCTCTTCCCCCGGCACCCGGCGAGGACGCAGCCGTGGTGTCCAGGACTGTCTGTGTCTCTAGCGAATGGCTACGTGAGTTGTGGAATGACTGACTGACCACATGGATGGACGGATGAGTGCATGAACGAATTCCCTGGAACACAAGCACCATTTTCCAGAACGTGTTCTCCCTGTGCGGAGGGGCCGGGCTCCGGGCTGGGGCGGCAGACAAGAGGAGAGGTCTCTGCTATGAAATGTCCGTGACCCTCACTCAGCGTGACAAACCTCATGACAGGCTTGACTAAAGCCAGCTGCCCTCCGGAATCATCCCCCAAACAAAGCCGCAAGTGTCCTACTCTGGCGTCCAGCTGCTAGACTGCCCGCTGCCCGCGTTCTGTTGCAGCCTCGGCCGTTTTCAAGAGCAGATTGGGGGGGGGGCGCCTGGGGGGCCCAGTCGGTTAAGCCTCCGACTTCGGCTCAGGTCATGATCTCACGGCTCGTGAATTTGAGCCCCGCGTCGGGCTCTGTGCCGACGGCTCGGAGCCTGGAGCCTGCTTCGGATTCTGTGTCTCTCTCTGCTCCTCCCCCGCTTGCACTCTGTCTCTCTCTCTAAACAATAAATAACCATTTAAATTTTTTCTAAAAAGGAACAGATTGGGCAGCGCTCTCCGCAATGGGGACACGAGGGGTGTGATTTGGAGTTACCACGCTTCTGCCCCCGGAGGGAAAGCCTTGACTTTGCACCTCCTATGTCCCCGGCAGGGAGCTTCTTGCCAGGGCCCAAGTCAGCTCCCAGGAGACATGAGCTGAGTGCGCGCTGGGGAGGGGATCTGCGCCCTGGGTGGGGGCAGTGTGCGGAGGCCTTCACAGGCCACAGGGTGCTGGCCAGCAGGGTGGGGGGGGGCAGTGTCCCCGGGATGCAGGCCCCAAGTGCTGCCCAGAGCTGCCCTCGGCCCCGGGCGCCACCGTGAGCCAGCTGCTGAGCGTGCAGAATCGTGCTCGGATACATGACCGCTGAGATGCACAGGGGTGGGGGCGGGGGCGGGTTCCCGGAGTCCCTGCTCTTGAGCGGCCGGTGTGCCCCTTCACGCTGTCCCTGACACCGGCAGGTGACTGCTCTCACAACACACGCTTTTGCAAAATAGCACTTCACTGATTATTTCCAAAAACTTGATGTAGAAAAGTTTGGCTGGATTCAAGATCGGTTCACACGAACCAAAACAAAATTCAACATCACAAGTGCCAGAGAAGGAGGGGAAAGCATGTTCCAGTCTTCAAACATAATTTCAAATGGTGAAATGGCTCTTAATTTTTTTTTTTTTTATCATTTCCTGGTGGGGAGGGGGGGTGGATATTTCTAGTCAGTATGCTGGGTTTAAAAAGCCTGATCAGGGGTGCCTGGGTGGCGCAGTCGGTTAAGCGTCCGACTTCAGCCAGGTCACGATCTCGCGGTCCGTGAGTTCGAGCCCCGCGTCGGGCTCTGGGCTGACGGCTCGGAGCCTGGAGCCTGTTTCCGATTCTGTGTCTCCCTCTCTCTCTGACCCTCCCCCGCTCATGCTCTGTCTCTCTCTGTCCCAAAAATAAATAAACGTTGAAAAAAAAATTTTTTTTTTAAAAATAAAAAGCCTGATCAGAAACTCCATGGAGCCGTCTCAGGCATAAAACCTGATTATTAAAAATATAGATGGACACAAACACAAGTAAGTTTCTCACTAAGAAACTTGAAAACATTTTATTTCTAAGTTTTATTTAAAGCCAATATTTTGTATTTTCTCTGATAATTTTGTTATTTTACTCACCCTAATTATATACTATAAAGAAAATATAATGAAAAATTTTTAATGTTTATTTATTTCGGAAGGAGAGAGAGACAGAGCACGAGCAGGGGAGGGGCAGAGAGAGGGAGACACAGAACCTGAAACAGGCTCCAGGCTCCAAGCTGTCAGCACAGAGCCCGACGTGGGGCTCGAACCCACCAACAGCGAGATCATGACCTAAGCTGAAGTCAGACGCTTAACTGACTGAGCCCCCCAGTACTCCCCTAATGAACTTTTTCAGTAGCCCACAGATGCCCCGCGTCCCCGGGCTAAAGCCCCGCGAGCCGGGTGCATGTTGCTGTCTCTGCAGCAGAACGCCGGGGGCCCCGGACAGAAGTGCTCACATTCTCAAAATCCTTTCCTGAAAGTACAAAATTCTGGCAGAGGCTTAGATTTTAGAAACTCAAAGCTCTTTCAACCGGAGAAGGAATGTCGAGAAAACTCATAAAACTGGGCTGCCGAGACGGATACGTGGTGGGTTACGTTTTCCGAGGGTGATCGCAACAATCCCTTCCCTCCCACGGGACCGTCTTACTCGATCTCATTGAGGCTCCTTCCAAAAGGAAATGGGATCCTAGCTCCCTCCTCTTTCAACCTGGTTTGTGGCTGTGGTGGGGCCACGTTGTATGACCCCCCGCCCCCCAACTGAGCCAGGTTGTAGAAGGTGATACTTGGTTTTCCTGCTGTGTTGGCTACGCCGGCTCTTGGAGCCCAGCCACTGTGCCGGGAGGACCCCCACGCAGCCCCGTGAGGAGTCCCCCGTGAAGGGTGTTCCGGGTGACCCCCCCCAGCCGCCATGAGACGGGGGTGGCAGGAGGGCCCTGCCCCCCCCACACACACACCCCAGCCTCATGGCGGCTTCGGGAACAAAACAAATGGTTGTAATTTAAGCCACGACACTTTACAATGATTAGTTACGCGGAAATCGTTGGCGCGATGAAGAAACAAAATCATCGGATAAAATAGGTCAGATGGGGGCTAAATTAGCTACGCTTAGGAAAAGCCTCCCAAAATGTACGTGCCCTTAAATCCAACCGTTCCAGTTTGGGGGATTTAATCCTGAGGAAGAAGTGAAAGATGTGCTCTAGGATTTCGCCGCAAAAAATATTCTTCAAAACAGCAAAAAAGCTGAAAGCCACCTAAACGTTCCGTAGAGAACTGGGTGCTGGGTGCTGGGTGCTGGGTGCTGGCGCATCTCGTTGTGCGGGGCCCAAGCCTGTTCCTCAGAACCCCCTGGGGAACCTTGTACGGGAGAGAACTGGCCAGCCCTCCCTGTTCCCGTCCCGACGAACACGACTTTGTTTCCAGTCCGGGACCGGGGACACCTGTTCTGACCCCGGGCGCTCATCCTCCTACCTCGTCCCGCGAGGGGGGCTCTGCGTCAAAGGTGCACACGCTGTCAGCTGCGGTAGATAATTTCCCGCAAAACCTAGAACGATTTACACTCCTACCGGTAACGGAGGCGCCCCTGGCAGCACTGGGGCTCCTGGCTCCCTGGGCGCCGTCGGGGCGACCCCAAACACGCGCACTTTGCTGCATAGCTTACGGTTCCCCGGTGGCTGCTCTCTGCCACCACCTCCATTGCCTCTTCCAGGAATTTCTCCCGTGGGTCCTCTGTTTCCCTCCCTTCCTGTTCGTCCTCTCATTTTGTGGGAGTTTGTTTTTTCGAGTTGCTGCCTTTGTGGATCATATAAGCTTTAAGCATTTCCCGTCAGACCTGGGCTTCTTCGTGGCGGCCAGCCACCCCCTGTGGTCACGCGCTTACGCTAATTTTCGTTCCGTTTAACTCGTGTCCTCGGTCACACCAGCCTCACGGAGGCCCGATGACTACCCCCGCCCGGCGGCTGCCTCCCCAGACAGCTCGGGACGGACGGAACGTGTCCTTCTACCGCGAGTGCCGTCGGAGGCACTGACCCAGCCGCCCTCGTCCCCTCTTTGGTGATGCCTTTGGCCGCACCTAGTTTGAAGCTTTTACATCGTTAAATCTGACATTTTTTTAAATGGCTACTAGGTATATCTTTCTTGCTTGTAAAGGCCAGCCCTAAGTTTGTTTAAAAAACAACACCTCGTTTTTACCTCTAATATTTTTATACTTTTCTCATTTAGATCTTCAACCCACAAAGAGGTCATCTTTGCATGCGGAGAGGTTCGACGTCTACTTTTATTTGGTTCCGTGCGTGCGGCAATATAACGTGTTCGATAGCCCGCCCCAAGTTTCCCTTTGCGCACCTGTCGCCCCCTATCCTGCACTGCCGGGCACTATCCACTGCATTGCACCCTCTTCCCCAGCGAAAGACGGGGCCTGACCCCTGGGAATGGGACAGAAGCAGCCGAGGGCTGCGGGAGCAGAGACAAAGGGACAGGTCCGGGGCAGTGAGCTGGGATGGGACCGCGTGCCTCGCACCCGCCGCGTGGCCCTTGAGAACCGCGTTCCCCAAGCTCGGCTGCAGGGATGCCCAGGTGACTTGGACCAGAAGCCCCGGCCGGTGCCCGGGTGCTCTCGGTGAGCGGCCTCTGGGTTGGGCCTCCGCCCTATGCAGCAGCCGGGGTGCAGGCAGGCCCTCGGCCCCAGGAGCCACTCTCCTGATTCAGATGAGGGCCCGGCGAAGGGGCCTCCCTCAGAGGGAGGGCTGGCTACGCAGCGTGGGGGGCCCCGTGGGAAGTACAAACCCAGGGCCCCCTGTTAACAATTAAGAGTTCCAAGGTGGTGAGAGCAGAGACTTGAACCAAGTACGGAGCTGTCCCTGCTCGTGGGGACGGAGGGGCCGGGGAACAGGGGCCTGACCCCAGCGGAGGTGCCCCCGTCCTCCCGGCACC